GCAAAGCCAGATGTGGGGCTAGAACTCACAACCATGAGATCATGACCTGAGCTAAAGTCGAGTTGAACACTTAACTGATTCAGCCACCCAGGTGGCGCCCCTAATTTTATTTTACAGACAGAGAGAGAGAGAGCAACCAAATGGGGGAGAGGGAGAGAAGGAGAGAAAGAAAAGAATCCCAAGCAGGCTTCATGCTCAGCACACAGCTCAACATGGGGCTCAATCCCACGACCCTGGCATCATGAACTGAAATTTGGCTCACCAAATTGGAGAGTTGGATGCTCAACCGACGGAGCCACCCAGGCGTCCCTCGGGAACATTTCTGTAACGCAGACCTTGTGGCTTACGTTACGTGACTCCCAACTTCAAACCTCTAGCCCAAATGACTCCCCCTAATTTGACCCTTGTACATGCATTTGCCTTTTCAACACTGTCACTGTCACTGGATACCCAATAGGGCCTCAAACTTAACATATCCCAAACTGTGGACTCCTGTCCTTTTCTGCCTGGCTTGATTGTCCCCAGTCGGCTTCCTCCTTGGTAAATGGCAACTCCATCTTTCCAGACGCTCAGCCCAAAAATCTTGCCGACATAGTTGACCTCTCTGCCCTCAAGGCCAACTCTCTTGGCACCACCTTCAGATTATATCCAGGATCTAGCTGCTGCTTACCGCTTCCACTGCCTCCACCCTAGTCCAGGCCACCATCGTGTTCCTCCCGAACTACCGCAATAACCCCCCAGCCAGTCTCCCAGCTTCTCCCCAACCTAGTCACCACATGGCAGAGACTGTTTTACTATGTAAGTCAGCTCATACCACTCCTTCGCCCAAACCCCCCATTGGCTCCCCATCTTACTTAGGTTGAAAACCAAGTCCCGGGGCACCTGGGTGACTCAGCCGGTTATGCGTCCGACTTTGGCTCAGGTCACGATCTCGCGGTTCGTGAGTTCAAGTCCTGCAACGGGCTCTGTGTTGACAGCACGGAGCCTGCTTTAGATTCTGTGTCTCCCTCTCTCTCTGCCCCTCCCCTGCTCATTCTCCCTTTCTCTCTCTCTCAAAATAAACAAACATTAAAAAAAAAAAAAGTCTTTATAATGGTTGAATCGCCCCAAACTTCATCTCCTGTAACTCCTACCCTCGCGTATTCTGGTCTTCAGACAGGGTGACCTGATTGCTCTAACCTCAGGGTTCTTGCTCCTGCCTCTGCCTGGAATCTTCTCCCCTGCAAACTATCCGCAAAACTCCTTTACTGGGGCACCTGGCTGGCTCAGTTGGTGGAGCATATGACTTCCGGTCACTCCAGTCTAAGGGTCGTGAGTTCCAGCCCCGTGTTGGGGGTAGAGATCACATAGAAAAAGGTAAAAAGAAACCAAAAAAGACTCCCTTACTTACTTCAGGTCTTGGCTCACTAGCGAGGCCTTCCTTGACCACCTCCCACTCACTATCACCCCTGCTACATTATTTACATGTTTATTTTCTATCTCCCCTCTACCCTCCCGCCCCCTTTATAAGGTTCACTTCACAGAGGCGGGAACTTCGGGTCAGATGTGTGCACAGCCAATAAGCTGAACGGGCCAAAGATGCCAAATATGGAAAAAATAACAATAATATATAGACACATTATTTTCAATAATTAGTATCATAATATACATTACCCCTGCTTTTCCAATCAGTTTTTCTCTCTGTTGTCGAAAACTGACGTCTGTGCTCAGAGCAGGAACTGGAAGACAGAGTTGGGGTATACAGAAAGGAAGATAGTTTACTACTTTGCCAGGCAAAGGAGGTTACAGCAGACTAATGTCTCCAAGACTGCAAGCCCGCCTGGGGGAAAGGGCTGAGGGCTTTTATAGGAAAATACAGGATCTGGGCATTTGGATAGCAGTCTGGTCCCCGCTGCCAGCCTGGTTCCTCAAGGTGGTCTCATGACTAGAGCTGGCGGGGCCATCTGAGTCTCGTTACTAAGTATACATTGAGGGCGGCATGTCAATATCTGTACTGAGTTCTTGGAACAAAGGATTCCACAGAAAAACAAGTGAAAGGGAAGGGGAGGAGGAGGCTTTCAAGAATGAGGAAGAGACAAATTTGTTCAGTTTATAAAGTCCAACCCAAAACAAAAAATAGTGATAAAGTCAAGCCTTGCTGGGGGACTAGCACGTTCACCTTTTTTTGTTATTTATTTTTAAGTAATCTCTACTGCTCAAGTGAGGGTCAAACTCACCACCCTGATTCTTTGTTTTTTAAATCTCTAGCTCCAACGTGGAGCTTGAACTCAGAACCCCAAGACTAAAAGTCGCATGCTCTACCGACTGAGCCGGCCAGGTGTCCCAACTAGTTGTCCATCTCTCTCTTTTTAATGTTTATTTGTTTAGTTCTGAGAGAGAGAAAGAGAGAGGCAGAGGGAGGGAGACAGAGAATCCCAGGGGCTCGAATGCAGGCATCATGAAATCATGACCTGAGCCAAAATTAAGAGTTGGACGCCTAACCGGCTGAGCCATGCAGGCACCCCTAGTGTGTACATCTTAATTTCCATCCCTCTTTACATTTCTACAGAGGTTTCATCTCTACCTTTTAGGTTCCTTATTCTTTGCTAACTTTTCTCTTCTGAAACTAAATTCTTACGATGTCTGATTCAGACAAATAAATGATTTATAAAGCGTCTACGTAACCCGCGCTCTGAACCTATTTTCTCTCTTGCTCAGTCTTTCACCGGGTTTCTTCTTTATTTCACTTTGCGGTTGCTTCCTTTGTAAGCTTTCCCTTAGATTTCAAAGTGCTTTCATTGTTCATTTCCTCCAGGCCTAGCAAGGAAGGGCTTCAGTTTGGTGGAGTTTTCTCCACCCTCTCTCACTCTTACTTTTTGAGTCCTGGAAACCAGGATTTACTCCAGATTTACTCCACCACAACCTTGTCACTTTTTGTCTTTTCACATTCTTGACACAAAACGGTAGACCTCCAAATGCTCTGTCTGCTCTTCACCAAACCAACTGCACACTGAATACAGAGTCAGAAACAGCTCAGCCTAGTGCTCTCAACAATACTGGCTCCTAGAGGGGCGCCTGGGTGGCACAGTCGGTTAAGCGTCCGACTTCAGCCAGGTCACGATCTCGCGGTCCGTGAGTTCGAGCCCCGCGTCAGGCTCTGGGCTGATGGCTCAGAGCCTGGAGCCTGTTTCCGATTCTGTGTCTCCCTCCCTCTCTGCCCCTCCCCCATTCATGCTCTGTCTCTCTCTGTCCCAAAAATAAACGTTGAAAAAAAAAAGAATTTTAAAAAACAATACTGGCTCCTAGAAATGCGTTTTAGAAATTTGTGTGGGTATTTCAGGTTGTCACGATCACTGGGGGGTAAGGGGGATCAGCATGTAATTGGGATGCCAGACATCTACGATGCGACAAACCTGCATGGTAAAATATTGTCCCACAATCCATCGGATTTTTCTTTCTTTTAAAAAAGTTTGTTTTCCTTAACGTTTATTTTGAAGAAGAAATAGCCTCCGAACAGCCTCCAGGCTCTGAGCTGTCAGCACAGACCCTGACATACAGCTCCAGCCCACAAACGGCCAGATCACGACCTGAGCCAAAGTCGGCTGCTTAAGCGACAGAGCCACCCAGGCGCCCCTCCACCTGACTTTTCAACGTCCTGCCAGACACCCACTTATGTGTCTGAGGCCTAGACTCGAACTTCACTTTACATATGCTCTTTTTTGACGTTTTAATATACACTAAAATTTCTAAGAATTCTTCTATGTAAAAAAACAATGGAAAATTGTACTTTCACAGAGTCAGAACTTTACCAAGAAGTTGTACACCATTTTGGAGAAATCATGTCGCCCACAGTAAATCCTTACGATGCTTGGAGAACCAACCTATTGAGGTTGCAACTTCTGATTTCACAGTTATGTGTGTGAACAACCACACCACTGGTTTATTTTCTATAGTAGACATGTCTTAGCCTTTAAATTTTGAAGTTTATTCATTTATTTACGTAAGTAATCTACACCTGAGGTTGAGCTGGAACTCAGGACCCAGAGATCAAGAGTTGCCTGCTCCTCCAACTGAGCCCGCCAGGCGCCCCTAGCCTTTATATTCTGAAGTATTATTATTTTGCTATTTTGCGATGCTTCTCCTTTACCTTACAGCTAGGGTGTTTTGTTGTTGTCGTGTTTAATTATGTGTGCAGGTGGGTTATATTACCCATGATTTTCATTACAGAACAGTAAAAACAAAGAAAAACAACAAAAGGAGGTCTATTCAGTATATAAAAAGGGATGTTGGTGCTGATTTAATTCGCTAACAGGTAGACCATTCCAAGATTTCCCATTTGCTTTGGAAGCTACTGTTTATACTTTGACCACACCACACACAACCTCATTTTCACTTTCAAGCATCCTAAGCTGTTAAATAGGGACCCAGACGATGCAGATGCTAATGAAAACTTGCACGGTCCTTAAAAATGGAAATAATCCTGCATGCGTAAAATCTCATTTGATGCTCACAAGAGTCCTACAAAGAAAAGTCAACAAAATCTTCCTAAAGATTCTTCTTACCCACGTAGTGGATTATAGTAAAAATGAAAACAAACAAAAAGTACTTGTTATATTACTGAGCCGCTGTCATACCTTCTCTTTGAGCTTTGAGAGATCCCACAGATTAAACCAAGATTCTCAACCAGATGAAACTTTTTTCTTTAGGATTTCAGCCTGCTCATGCAGAGATGAGAAAACGGAGATCCAAGAAAAGCTAAGCGACTTGCCCACGGCTCTGAGAAATAATATTTGCAAAGCAGGGAGACGTAAGAGTATATGAGACGGCCTACTCTATTACACTAGCTTTTCTCACCGCAGAAGCCGTGGATGAAAGTCGGTTATCAAGGCAAAACCGGACGTGAGCCGCAGGCTCGAGGGCGAGCCCCGCCCTCCGCCCCGCCCCCAGGGCTGTCTGAGGCAGTGCCTGACTGGTGGCCAGCGCAGGGGGCCTCGTGGGGGTCCTTCGCGCGGGCTCCCGACGCACTGCCTGAGTGGGTGCGCAGGCGGCTTCCGGTGTGGGTGACGAGTGGTGGCCGAAGCAGGGGGACATCAAGGGACGTTCAGGCCGGGACCATGGCGGACGGCGGCTCAGAGCGGGCTGATGGGCGCATCGTCAAGATGGAGGTGGACTACAGCGCCACGGTGGATCAGCGACTGCCAGAGTGCGAGAAGCTGGCCAAGGTGAGGGGAGGCCGGCTGGCTGTTCGCGGGCGCCAAGGGCTGAGTCACGGCGCGGAGCTTGCTTAGGCCTCAGGGGGCCTGCGGGCTGAAGGGTGCGTCTCCCACTGCCTGCCCAGCCCGAGTTGGGCCTGCGTGAGCAGGAGGTCCCAGGTGTGCCCCGCAGCGGGAGTACGCTGGTGCATACAGCTTCCCAAACTCTTCCCCTGGACTGATGGCCACTTCCCGGAGGAGGTGGGGCCTCACAGTACTCTTTGCCTTTTCTCGGTACTGTTTATCGTTTACTTTAACAGTTTCCCAGGGGTTACGGCCGCTTTAGCGTTCAGGCTAGATCAGAGAGTTGAGTTCTCTCACTCTGGCTGAATGAACGTATGTCGTTAAGTTGTTTATGGATCATGGGATGTTCCTGGCCTGTAGCCAGGAGAAGCAGTAGGAAAGTGAAACAGGACGAAGGTGATGAGCGCAGGACCCCTGCCCTTAAGGAGTTCGTATATATAACGAATTAGACGAGTCAGGCATGGTGGTGCGTGTTACACAAGTATAAAAGTGCTTATTGGAACGCAGAGAAGGAAGCTGTTGTTTTTTTACTGGTGGGGTAAGGGAAGGTTTTACGGAGAAGTTGACGTTTGTTTTGGGCCTTGAAGAAGAAAATTGGGATGGGGAGGAGTCGTCCCCGGAGCGGGAACTGCAGCCGCAAAGACTAACAGGCACAGCAGTGCAGAATAACCTAATTAGGGGAGGTCATGAACCGTGGTTTAGTCCAACTGCTTATCTCCTCTGGAATAGAAATTGAACTTGATTCGAACATTTTTCACCTCTCCTGATATGTGTCAGGCAACTTTATGTACCATTTTACATATAAAGAAACCAAGCCTCCTGGAGATATTTGTGGAACACCGGTAGGAACAGAACCAGGGTTTCAAAACTAGAATTGTCTGACTAGGGTTTGAATGGTTGTGGAATCAATTCCCATCATGGGCTGTTGCTAAGGATTACGCTCAGGCCTCATTAAATTCCTTGATCAATCTAGCCACAAATATTTATTGCTATTCACCTGGGATGCATGTACTAATAGGGTTGTTTTGTCTCTTAAGGTGCTTACCACAGAAGTACATTTAAGTGCAACTAATTCAGGGACAGGAGGAGTGTCAAGTAATATTTCACAGTAATATTTCTTAAAAAAAACAACCTTTCCACTGCTTCCTTTTTTTTTCTGATAAAGGATTTAGTGGGGCTTTAAAAAGACAGGGCTAGGGAAGGCTGATGAAGTTGATACACCTGAATTTCTTAGCTTCAGTACACTTGATGGAGGGGAGCCATAAATTCATCTCTGAACTTTCTAGCAGCTTGTGTAAAGAAACATCCTCACTTACATGAGAGTTGGAAAACCCCGACAGTGCCAGGCAGATAACGAGAGCTGGCATTTGTCGAGTATTTTCTACACTGCCAGGCAGCCTTCTGCGTGCTTACATGCATTAGCACGTTCGGGCCTCACCTTAGCCCCATGTGATAGGTGTTGTTGTTTTACCGACAAGAAAAGAGTCTAAGAGAAGTTGAGTCACGTGCCCCAAGGTCATACAGTTAGTAGAGTGATGGAGCCAGGATGCAGAGCAAGCAGACTGATTCTGGAGCTTGTGTTGTCTCCATGCTCTCCTGCCTAGTGAGCCAAGTGTGATGAAATCCTGAGCCAACTCCTGACCACTTATCCAGGGAAGGGGGGGGGGAGTAACTCCTCACCTCCAGTTAATCTTTGCCATTTGGGCATGACAGCCAGACCTCAACTCTTCTAATTTGAGGGAGAAACCAGGGGTATGGATTTGTTTTATACGAATTGCCTCAACATTTAGAATCCGGACACAGATCTGTTTTAAAACACCATTTGAGCCAATACCACATAGATCAGACAAAACATACCTACGGTCCAGAGTCAGCCCCTGAACCAGCACTTTGGAATTAATAGATTGCTGGTTTTCATAAGGAAGAAACCGTTTGCTGAAAAGAAGTACAGCTATGCCTAGAGCTGAGACCTGGGAGAAAAAAAAAATCTTCCCTTTACCAATTTCTGATAGCCTACTGTCAGTAGTCCGTGCTAGACGTTGTGGGGAGTATAAAGGTTATTAGACAAAGCTCTTGCCCTCAGAGAGCTTATAGGCCAGTAAGAAAAAAAAATATTTCACTGCTACAGTTGTAGTAATCACGTGTATGGCGTTTATGTGGGATATTATGGTTATGTGTTCAAGACAGTTGGAAAGACTTGCAAACTCAAATGCCTTTTTAGGTGTCAAGTGGGTAGCAGAAATGTTTAAAACAGGGAATGTTGTGGCCTGCTAAACTATGTAAAATAAAAGCCGTTTGAATTTTTTTTTTTAAGTTTATTTTTGAGAGAGAGAAGACACATGTGCACAAGCTGGGAAGGACAGAGAGAGAGCGAGAGCATCCCAAGCAAGCTCTGCCAAGGGGTTCAGTCCCACAAACCATTAGATCGTGACCTGAGCCGAAGTCAAGAGTCAGAGGCTCAACCCACTAAGCCACCCAGGTGCTCCTGGATTTTTTATTTATTTTTTTTAAGCCAGTGTGCCAGTGGAACAAAACAGGGTACAGGTGTGGATTCTTTTTGTGAGGGAGGAAGGTAGAGGGCTGGGGATGGGAGGGCATAAATGTTTGTGGTTTTGTTTTTTAATGCAAACCCACGATTTTCAACTTTTGGATTAGACTATTGTCTTACAGTCTAGTTAATTTTTTTAAGTTTTGTTTTGCCTTCTGTTTGTCATCTTATATTTTCTAACCATTCTGCCAAATGTAAGAAAATACCTATTTAAAGCATCGTATTTTTACACTGGAATGTATGGGACACTTTAGCATACATTCTTTTGCTTTTTTACTTTAAGCCCATCAACAAAACTGAAGAAAGTTTTGTTGTTTTTACTTTACTTGTGAAAAAACTAAGGTTCAGGCAGCTTAAGTGGTTTATCCACGGTCTACAGCAAAGCCAGATCAAGCTCAGGTCTCCTGGCAGCAGGTAGTGTTCGTTTTGCTACATCTCACGATATCTTTAAGAGACTTGCTCCCGTGCTTATTTTCCTTACAGCATTTTTAATTTACTTTTTATTTTTATGATGTTTATTTTAAGAGGTTGAGAGTACGAGTTCTTGCACTAATGAGTGGGGTAGAGGCGAGAGAGAGAGAGAGAGAGAGAATCCCAAGCAAGCTCCCCATTATCAGTGCAGAGCCGACTTGGGACTTGATTCCACTAACCTCGAGATTACGACCTGAGCCAAAACCAAGAGTCAGATGCTCAACTGACTGAGCCACCTGGGTGCCCCAAGACAATTTTTATTCTTTTTTTTTTTTTTAATTTTTTTTTTCAACGTTTATTTATTTTTGAGACAGAGAGAGACACAGCATGAACGGGGGAGGGGCAGAGAGAGAGGGAGACACAGAATCGGAAGCAGGCTCCAGGCTCTGAGCCATCAGCCCAGAGCCCGACGCGGGGCTCGAACTCGCGGACCGTGAGATCGTGACCTGAGCTGAAGTCGGACGCTTAACCGACTGAGCCACCCAGGCGCCCCGACAATTTTTATTCTTAATGTGAACAACATTTGCAGGTAAAAATTGTGTGTATAGAAACTTAATAAGAATATACCCAGTGAGAAAAGCACAGAGAGCAGAAACCTTCAGAAGGCATCCTGAAGTCTAGACCTGGGTGGTAAAATTGACAAATCCAGGCCATTTGAATCTCCTACAGTTGTGACTTACTACGACTCTGTTTCTGTGTCCTAACACTCAACATAGAACACCAGTCACTAATATTTATTGCTGTGTACTTTCTATATAATGTTAGCTGTTATGATGAAGATAATGTACCTAGTATATTCCAGGCATGTCTTCATAAGTATTGCTTTAATCCTTACAGCAACCCTGTGGGGCAGGAATTATTTTTATTATACTCATTTCATTTAAGAGAAAATTAAGGGCCAGAGAGCATGAGGGTCTTGCCCTAGGTAGCACAGTGGTGGACCTGGGATTTAGACCCAAGCAGTCTGGCTGCAGAGCCTATGTTTTTAACCATTACGTTCTCCTCTGCTGCCTCTGTGATTGGTATTTGATTGATGAAATAATAAAAGTGATACTAGTTCTTGATAATGGTTAGGGCTTCACCGTCCTATTAGCTAAGGAGTTAAAAATTAATCTGAAGAGGGCCTTTTCTGAACCGTATGTGGTATTTAGCAGTTCTTACTACACAGAGGATCACCACCCCCCATTTCGATTACACTATATTTGGTATGTGGTTGTTTGGGGATTATATTCTTAAATTGAACGTATCCTTTGGTTCTCCCTCTTCGTGTCTTTTCATTTCATTTGGTTACCTGCAGCCTCTTCTCCAGGAGGAGGTGAAATGTAAAACAGTTTATTGATTGCCAGCAGCTCGGACATAAAGACCCTCTTAAGAAATAGTAACGTTAGGGGCTTCTGGGTGGCACATTTGGTTGAGCATCTGACCTCAGCCAGGTCACGATCTCACAGTTGGTGAGTTTGAGCCCCATGTCGGGCTCTGTGCTGATAGCTAGAGCCTGGAGCCTGTCTCCCTCTCTCTCTGCCTGCTCATGCTCGCTCGCTCGCTCGCTCTATCTCAAAAAAAAAAAAATTTTTTTTTTTTTAAGAAATAGGTCATGTAAAAATACTGGATTAGCTTTAAATTTCAACTACTTGTGGTTAACTTTTTATTGGCCTTTTTCTTGTGTAGGTTGTTTAACAAGTTATTGAAAAGTTGGATCCATTTAGGAGGTAAAAGGTAGAAACAGAACTTACAGATACATAACATACATGATATGTATGTTGATGATATGTATGTTGAACAAACTCCTTAGTAAGTTACCTCATTTACAAAGATTTTAATGAGAAAAGTGAGTCACAAAAGTCACATGTTCTAATGAGTTGGTTTTGGTAGCTTTGACCGTCTCCTTCCTCTGAGTTGAAAGGCAGCAAGGTGGGGTGGAATTTCAAGAACTGTGAATAGTTAGGAAAGGAGGAAGGTAGTTAGCCATAGCATTGGCCGTGGAAGATTTGGAGAAAAAAGTGGAATAATTAGAGAATTGGGAGTTGTACTTATTGAAGTCGATGGTAGCATCCCCCAGATAGAACTGAATTGCCGGCCATATAACTTACCACATCCTACTTACCTTGACAGTAAGAATCAGGAATTTTGGGTACCTGGGTGGCTCAGTTGGTTGAGTGTCTGACTTTGGCTTAGGTCATAATCTCAAGGTGAGTCAGGAATTGTAAGCCATTAAGATCATCTGCTAGTTGTGGTCCAGCCATTCAGTGCATACTATGTACAAGTTGGTGTGAGGGAAACAATCGAACAAGGTCCACCCCTGAAGGAAGTTATGGACCACTTAGGAGGCAAGACATGCACATTAATGACTGTAGTACAAGGTATAGAGGGATGTACCGTAGTAGCTACAGAAGCAACATCATGTGCTTGGCCAGGTACCGAGCTGCATTGGTGAACAGTATAGACACAGTCCCACCTCTTGCAGAATTTACATTCTAGTGAGATTAGAGAGACCATGAACATTAAAAGAGAAAAGAGTTTGGGGTCATTACCAAGCAGAAAGTCAGTGGGCTTGTTAGTTAAGGAAGTGCTGAATGACTACTGACTTCCGGAGAGTTATTTAAGAATGCCTTCCTGAGAAGGTGACCTCTGATGTTTTGTTGATAACCGCAGATGATGGCTCTAAAGCAATATGTGATTTCTTCACGTGAAGAATACAGTTCTTTTACTGGTTTGTTTTTTCTACTTTTTTTTTAATGTATTTTGTTTTGTTTTAATTTTCTTTATGTTTATTCATTTTTGAAAGAGAGAGACAGCACAAGCAGGGGTGGGACGGAGAGAGAGGGGGACACAGAATCTGAAGCAGGCTCCAGGCTCTGAACTGTCAGCACAGAGCCTAACAAGGGGCTCGAACTCACTGAACCATGAGATCATGAACTGAGCCGAAGTCGGACGCTCAACCGACTAAGCCACCCAGGTGCCCCTGTTTGTTTGTCTGTTTGTTTGAGAGAGAGAGAGAGAGTTTAAGTGGGGAGGGGTAGAGAGAGAGGGAGACACAGAATCCTTAGCAGACTCCAAGCTGTCAGGAAAGAGCACGACATGGGGCTCAAACTCATGAACTGTGACATCATGACCTGAGCCTGAGTTGGCCACTTAACTGACTGAACCACCCAGGTGCCCCTAGAATGCAGTTCTTTAAAACCTATACTTCTGGGGCACCTGGATGGCTCAGTCAGTTAAGTGGCTGACTCTTGATTTTGGCTCAAGTCATGATCTCACAGTTTGTGGGTTCCAGTCCCACATTGGGCTCTGCACTGATAGTGTGGGGCCCACTTGGGACTCTCTCTCCCTCTCCCCCTCCTGCGCTCTTGTGCGCTGTCTCTCAAAATAAATAAACTTACAAAAAAAAAAAAAACCATACTTCTGAATTAAGATACCATAAACAGCGGGTGCCTGGGTGGCTCAGTAAGTTAAACATCCGACTTTGGCTAAGGTCATGATTTCATGGCTCATGAGCCTCGAGCTTTGTGCTGACAGCACAGAGCCTGTAGCCTGCTTCGGATTCTGCGTCTTCCTCTCTCTCTCTACATCTTTCCTGCTCGCAGTCTATCTCTCTCAAAAATAAATGAACGTTAAAAAAAAAATCTAAAATGAGTTGATTGGATTAAATAATCTGTGGCAGTCTTTAAGTTCTGAGATTCTTTGATCTTCTATGATTTATTAGCTTTTAACTTTGGAGAATTTATGGATTTGTTCTTTGTTCTTTTCCTCTGATGGGCATTTAGTTAGCCTTTATTGTACACATGAATCTGTAGAGTTTTCAGAACTGATGCTCTCCTTTGCATAGGAAACATTGTTACAACGCTAGTCATGGTGTTTCAGATTTAATTACAGTAATCATATATTTCAGAGTTAAAATTCAAACAATGACCATACAGTACATAATCTGTACTCCATAGAAAATTCATAGTTTAAACGTTATTTTGGAAAATATAGAAAGTATTTTGAAAAATCCAAACATTATTTGAGTCCTTAATTCAAAAACTGTTTAATTACTTTCTTTGATCAGTAAAAGAGTAGGACTCATGTACTGTCCATGAATGTCATTAAAATAAAAAAAAGTTCTGGGGCTCCTGGCTGGCTCAGTTGGTGGAGCACATGGCTCTTGATCTCAGGGTTGTGAGTTTGAGCCCATGTTGGGTGTAGAGATTACCTAAAAATAAAATCTTAAAAAAAGGCTCAATCGGTTAAACATCCAGCTCTTGATTTTGGCTCAGTTCTGAATCCCACAGTACGTGAATTGGAGCCGGGGGGGGGGGGGGGGGGGGGGGGGGGGGGGGGGGGGGG